GTTCTGCCCAGGGTTCTGGCGGTGCCCCGCTCTTGTCTCCTGACCCGGCCCTTTGAGGATGACCTGTCTGTTGTAGCATTGTGGATTTATGGATCTCGGGATCAGCTCAGTGACAGCTCATCCTTCAGATCTGTCCTACCCACCTGGGAACCACCTCCACCAATGTGGGAGTAATTACCGGACTCATTGATGGGAACGGATCATTTAAAATCGCTTTAGTAGAAGCAGACCTGGCCCGGCACTGGAGAACTAAAAGGCCGGGCATGCTGGAGTTTGTAGTCCCCCAACCTCAGAGAGCTATCAGCTGTCCAGAATGTGTTAAAGTGACACTAAACTCAGGAGCTGAATCCTAAAATTACATCCGAGTCCCGGAACTCTGAGCAACAATGTATCTTATTTATGTATCACTCGGCTGGAGATCCTCCAATCATCTCTGACACTGTCCTTCCTTCTGGAGGGGGGCTACGTCTGTTCCCCATGGTCCCTGTGTGTGTTGTAAAGTAGTCACCGCTCCATCTCCCCCCCGCTCCTCCGGGGTGGACTACAGCCTGAGATTGGAGCGAGCTTGGAGCGGGGACTACATCACACACAGGGGCCATGGGGATCAGACGTAGCCCCCCCTCCAGAAGGAAGGACAGTGTCAGAGATGAAATGCATTTTTAAGATTTAATTCCTGAATTTAGTGTTTATGTCAAACTTTTGACGATACTGTGAAACATACCGACACCTGGACTGGACCCATAGAAATTCTCCCAAACCTAGAGATTTTTCCTATAGAATCTTTATGTCTGAAAATTTGCAACATTGATTCAATTTACAATTAATTTCATAAAATATAAACATATTTTATTTAAAAAAAAACAACAAAAAAAACAAATCTTCAGTCAGTTCTGGTATTTTATAGAATTGTGTCTTTTGAAGTAGACCCGATCTCTAAAATCTCATACAAGCCTTGCCATGCTGATGTAATCTCTGAGTCTCAGGACAGGTAACATCACCGACATTTGTGGTGAAAGAAATGACGCTTCATTTCCTTTTTTAAAAAGAACATCGTCGGGTGTGACATCTGTTGAATATAATTTGCTGGTCACAAGAGAAATAATCTTTGATTGGGTCTGAAAAGTTCTGAATCTCCTGTTGGTGGTCCGCTCTTATTTCCGTCCTAGCGGCACCTCGATTTCGCAAAGCGCAGCGGACGTCATAATATATTTATATCATGGAACAGAATCCTGCAAAGAAATGTCAGTACATAAGTCAGATTTAAATATAATGGCTTTGTGTGTGGATCGGATGTTGTTGATCTCTTAGAGCTTGTTGTGGGTTAGAAGTCCAGAATTCAGCGTTCCCCTGGCGGTGTGAATCCCTACGCCTGTTGTTTTGTTTTTTCCTTTTAACCATTTGAAAAAGAAAAAAAAGTTGTGTCCTTTCTAGTTTGTGGCCTGTAACAATGCCAAGAACCTGTCAGTGACAGCGGCTTCCACTCGTGAGTTGCGGCAGCAGCTAGCCGCCTTGTCATTGAGCCAGCGAAGGGTCTTCTTCATGCTGCCGACTGCAAAACCTACAGAGCTGCTGCAAAACCCATTACAGAAAGAACAACCGAGTATTGTTGTGAACTGCGCGCTTCCCCTTTAAGGTTGCCGATAAACTCGGCTGACATGTGTAACGCCGTGCATGGAAAAACATTACTGCAACACGAGTATGAAACAACGCACAATAAACAGACGAAGGTCTCCCTGTAAAAGCTTGTTTTTTTAATATTAAAGAACCAATAAAAAAAAAAATCTCCGCTCTGAAAAATATGCCTAAAAATTCCACTAAATACATTTAATATCAAATTAATTTTTTTTAAATGTTTAACAAATATTGTATTTCATTTTGGGAATTGGAGACATGCTTTAGAAACAAAGAATAACATGATATTTAAACATGTAGTTACATTTTGATATATATTTTTTTAAATAATCCTAAATATTGTTTTTGGGTTATATTATGGAATTTTATTTTATTTATTTTGCATTTTAGAATTTTATGACAGTTAAAAATAAAAAATAAAATAAAAAAAAATCAAATTTAATGAAAACAGGCGTGAATTTAATTTTGAAGCAAGTGACTCAACGTCTCCAGCCAATGCTTTCTTTTGCGACCAGATGACTGGATTGTTTTAATGGAAGGCGAGACGCCTCATTAGATGATGATATCCCTTTACAGGACAAATTATCGCGTTCTATCAGTAATTGGCGGTTGTATTAAAGAATCTTCTGTTATCGGGCCAGAGCCTATAAAAAAAAAAAAAAAAAAATATATGCTCCTAATTGTTAAAATTAGATTCTTTGTTTTTATTGCATAACAAGTATTTTGATACCCTCCGTCGCAACTTGCAGCTTCTTAATTCCTCTGCGCTCGCTGAAAGATGTAATTAGTAAATAAATTGCCTTTTCTGCTCAAATATTACCCAAAAACATTTTCAAGCTGTGTTGTCTTTCCAGCAAAACTTGTGCAAATGTAATGCAATTACAAGCTACTTAGTGATTCTGTGGTTGCAAATACGGCCTTGAAAATCTGAAAGCAGCAATCAGCCAAGTGGCAGAGCACGCGGGGAATCGAGTTGTGCGGCGTAGCGCGCGGCAGCGGGACGCAAAAAAAAACAAAACGTATCCACAAGCCAGCGTTGCCGCGGTTTTAAACCTCGGCTTTTTTTTTTAAACGCCAAAAAACAAAGCGTTAAAAATACTGCAGCCCGGCGAGCGGCGAGGAGGGGGAAGCTGCAGCTTCTGATGCATCTAAAAGATGTGTGCAGCCTGCAGTGGGTTCCAGCTATCGCTCTGCGTTCCTTATAACAAGGTGACGTTTGTCTGATTTGAATAGCGGCCGAGCCGCTCTGCGATTCTCATGTTGCGCGCTCTCCGATCTGCTGATTTTATTGCATCGTTTTCCTGTATTTTTTTCCCTCTCCTTGTAACTGAGACGCGCAGAATATTTATTTTTTCCATTTTTAGTTTTTTGGGCGTTCTTTTTCCCACTTTGTAGCTAATAGCCGTTTGCAGATCTCGGATGGCGATATAATTACTTCTGGTTTCTGAAAAAATAATTAGAGTTTTTTTTTTTTATGTTGTTGGGAAATGTAGATGCAGTTAATAACTCATTTTTTTTTTTTTTTTTATGCTCTGCTACGGCTGCTCTTCTGATCTTTGATTCTCTGGATTCAAATTGTAACAGTCAATTATGGATTTGTATTTAAAAAAAATAAAAGTGTTCTCTATAAATTCACAGCTTTTGGCAAATGTCACAAAATGTATTATTTTTGTTACAATATTTATGTATAAAAAAGAAAAATAATTTTGTTATAAAAAAAGAAGAAAACATTTTCTTATTTGTTCAATAAATAAAGATAATAAAAGATGTAATTAGTAAATGAATAAATTGAATAAATAAAAATGATATTATTATTATTATACGGGATTTATAGAGCGCCAACAGTGTGCGCAGCGCTTTACAATATAAGGAAGACATTACAGTCACAATACAATTTAAGACAAGATGGTAAGGAGGGCCCTGCCCCTGAGAGCTTACAATCTAAAAGATATAAAACGTCACCCTTGGCTTTTTTCCCTCGGTGAAGCGGTCATTTTAATACATAGTTTCTTTTTCTGCAGGAGACACAATAACGGCCGACGTTGAAACCTTTTCACCGACATTATTGTTTGACGTAAAGTGAGAAATGTCGCTCGTCCTGCGTATTGCGCTTCTTAGTTTTCCAGTGCAGACTTTCCGCCCGTCTCAAACACCTTCTGATTCGAAGTCACTAATTGAGACCTAGATGTAAGATATGCTAATGAAGCATTTGATGTCACGTATGACCAATGTGAATTTGCCCGCCAGATTGGGGTCGTCTCGGTGAGCGCAGACATGACCTAATGCTCGGTGATTGCTCGGTGATTACCTGGGCTGTTTCCAGAGAATGCGACTTTATCCCCGGACTTATAGAAGGGAAACCTGCTCGGAGGATAATGAGCAAGTAGAACTGTAACTACTACATGTGTCGGCGGCAATCTGAAGCCGAAGCGGCCATCCCGCGTTCCTTTACCTAGCCGGCCTCTAAGTCTTGTTACAAGTCATGCCTAAGTCTTGGCATGGACCTTGATTGCAGCCGAGATATTCTGCGCACATGCCAAACAATGATGTTTGTGTTGGTTGCCTTGCTTGAATAAAAACGCGGCTTCGTTAGCGAATCAAGAAACATTAGGCAATGGCTCATTCTTTTCTAACTGAAGTTGTCACCATACATCATGATGTGTAACTGGAGATTGCAGTAATCTGGGGGCTTGTCCGGGATGGCGTTTGATTGGTCATTCCAGGAGAGCTTAGCTGGCAACGCACATCGGGAATCACGGAGCTGTTAGCAATGGCTCTTTGGATTGCATTGAGTTGATTCTGTTTTCTGTGTGGAAACTAATAAACAAGGTACATGTCTCCCATCAGTGCGGTGGTGGAGTTACTCGGCATAAATGATGTTTTGTTTAATACCTTTTCTACATAAATAGAGGGG